AGAGAGAGAGAGAGAGAGAGAGAGAGAGAGAGAGAGAGAGAGAGAGAGAGAGAGAGAGAGAGAGAGAGAGAGAGAGAGAGAGAGAGAGAGAGAGAGAGAGAGAGAGAGAGAGAGAGAGAGAGAGAGAGAGAGAGAGAGAGAGAGAGAGAGAGAGAGAGAGAGAGAGAGAGAGAGAGAGAGAGAGAGAGAGAGAGAGAGAGAGAGAGAGAGAGAGAGAGAGAGAGAGAGAGAGAGAGAGAGAGAGAGAGAGAGAGAGAGAGAGAGAGAGAGAGAGAGAGAGAGAGAGAGAGAGAGAGAGAGAGAGAGAGAGAGAGAGAGAGAGAGAGAGAGAGTTGTTAAATAGAGAGTTGTTAAATATAACGCACGCGTTTTTATGTCGAGTATTACATCAGGGCTATATATTATTATATTGAGCACGCCGCTTAGATTAATAAAGCATGCAAATTAAGATGGATTACAGTTCATGTGACGTCAGAGGTTTAGAAGTGTGACGTGACACAACATATTACACATTAATAGTGTGACGTTTCAAAACACATTACACATTTATAGTGTGACGTCACACATTACACATAATATCACAGCGCTCTGTACTTCACATGCTGCTATAAGTGTGTACCGGAAATTAAGTGCACTCTAATTAATTATTGAAATTGTACAGACATTGAGATAATGACGTATTATTGTCTTTTAATTCCTTGCCGTAACTTAGTCAATACAGTTGTGTATTGTTTGGAAGTTTGGAATGAACTTATTTAAAAGACTGTTTCACTTGTCCTACCTAGTCTCTACTACCGGATATTACCCCTGGAATCATTATCTTATCATGAGACTGATAAACAGCGAACCTCTCCAGGATCTTTTATTTGAAAGAGGGCGAGATGTTTGTATTTTGGACATTATATAATATATACCAAACAAGCATGTTACAATTTACATTCTACAGTGAGATTGTATCTCTTATTAACATACATGCTGCCAGATATAGGATCTTGAAGTAAAATAGTTATGGTTTAAGAATATCCAGAGTGGTACTCGTAATGATCATGAAATCTTTATCTAAGTTATGTTTCAGATATCAAGTCTTCAATATCTTATCTTGTTAGTAAGGACAATAGCGTGACTCTATAGAGTTATGAAGTGGATAGTGGAAAAGAGAAGTTTAATAAATCATGAGTTGGTCTACTTAATACATATTATGAATAAGAAGGTAGGAACACTTCTATGCTACTAACCTGTTCACGAGGCATCAATGATATAATTAACTACATCTTCTGAAGGCTGCTGTACCATAACCTATTAAGAGGATAATACAATTGTGCCTTCGTTAATAGATAAAAATACTACATAAGTACACAATATGTTTCAACGATAAAGAAAATCACCCGAAAACTTTCATGAGAACAGCCATTACTCGTTTGATCTTACAATTCAGGTTAAACGTTAAACTTAAAGTAATATGGTCAGGGTTATAAAGTGTTTGAAGGTCGAGGATTAGGTTAAGGCGAGAGGATGGACGAGGAGGGGCCTGACTACCACCTCACGTGATCAGGACCACCTGCCAAACAATTAATTAAGTAATTAACTAATTACACTGCGTTTATTACAGATCAATGAGCTAATTGGATAACTGCAGGAGACTTGTCTATTGAAATTGTCCCGGTAGCGGATGTTATAATTTGCTCCAATTATTTTTCCAACGGCTGCTGGTGGAGTCACGATAGTTTATGCGAGCTAACCAGAGCATAAAGTCAACTAAATACTTTCACCTTCTTACAAAATATAATCAGAGTAGTTTCATGTTGTGATTCACCTTTTTCAGTTGGCTCATGGAACAAGTAGTGATACTCTCAACCTCATGGAAATGCCGAGGATGTGTTTTCAGCGAAACAATGTATCGGGAGTGTACTACTGATTGAGGTTCTATTAATAGTGCTTAATATACTGTAGATCTTTCAGATTCTTGAATACATCATAATATTATCAGCATGTTCATGGGCCGATCAGTTTAAACAGGAGCATTTTAAAATTCTGAGAGAGTGAGAACATGCTCAATTTTAAAAATTGGTCTGACTTTGAACTTATGCTGTTGAGTGCGGTGCGATAGTGTGGTTACTTCGTGCTCGAGGGGAATACATTTATATGGTTTATATATGTTCACTGTTCAGTAATGAAGACTTTATTAGATTCAATATGTAGCAGAAAATTGATCAAAAACTTAACTTAATGTAAAAGTAAATACTGTTTGGTAAATTATATGCGGAAATGCCCATTGGGAACATCTTTTGTTTTCTGGTGAGCAGGTCACCTCCTCACAAGTCTTAATGTCTACTAAGATATGATAGATATAGAATGATCGGACATCTGTGATCATAACGATCATAGTTTAAGAGTTGAATGCTTAGTGTTCGAAACTACATTGAAATTAGAATAAAGATCATTAATAGAATCTGATTTTCCTGAGTTATTTCAATTTTAATTTTGTTCATGCAGGTCTTTTTACTTAGTTACCACTATTCAACAGTTATTGAGTTATATACTTTCACATTAAGTTAGTCTCATTCAAAAATATCGAAATTTGATCGAATTTTGGGCAAAAGCTTTCAAATTTGGTGCGTATGCTGCAGCAAGAGGTCCACGTTAACTCTGTGACATGTTTGTAGTGTGACAAAGTTTACGTCTCACTGCCGGCCGGATTTTGGCGATATCTTTTCACCTGATTAAGATATTGTTTTGTGACAAAGTTTACCTAAAGGATGAGACGATTATCCTAACCATCAAGGGTTTGTTTCCTTTTAGTATGACGATGTTAACTAAACTGTGCCTTTTAATAGGGTAACAAGTTTTATCCTCAACTTCAAATGAACATGCCCACATGTTCTGCTTCAACCATGGAGTCAAATCTGCATAATTCAAAAAGATAGCGTCCATAATTTTTCGAAATGCTCACATCATCAGTTTTTTAATTGATGAATACATGGAATATAACAGCCAATGCCAATTTCAACAGGGACGTAGCCAGGATTTTTCTTTGAGGGGGGCTGTCGGCGAGCGAAGCGAGCCGACGCGTCCAATCAAGCTGCGCAGCGAGCGAAGCGAGCAAGCTGTGGCAGGGGTCTGGGGGCGCAGCCCCCAGCGGGGTCCAGGGGCGGAGCCCCTTGGCGGGGGCTAGGGGGGCGCAGTCCCCCGGAAATTTTTTGCGAAACAGGGTGTTTTAGACGACATTTGGCATTAAAGAAATTTGTAGGACAGCAATAAACTGGGATTGAAAAGAATCAAGTACTCACGTAAATTTGGTAACTTCACAACAGCAATCTGCATTCTCCAATCAGAATTTACGACTTACTCAGGCCTCATCGTCTTAAGATTTTTACATTTCCTACGGTCTAGGGGACACTATTGACTATAATTATAGAATTATAGAAGTCTTCTAGAATGTTTGCTTGGATTTAATGACATATATTTACTAATCCACAGTTCAAATCTTTGACTGACTGCAGTCATAAACACAGCCCAGTTACCAGGCGACCATGGGGACTAGGGGGCTTATCTTTTTTCTGGGGTTCGATTTTTTCCGGGGGGGGGCTGCCGCCCCCCTAGCCCCCCCCCCTGGCTACGTGCCTGAATTTCAACACATATAATTAATACTGTTAAGAAAAAAAGAAAAGTTAATTTTGTCACATTTTTACTGGGCAAACTTATACTGAACACTATTTGAACGCTGTTTTGAATTTGGAATTGTTAGATTGACCTAATCAACTACATTTCAGACCAAAAATGCTTATTATGCAGCCATGGCTGATTAAGTCACACAAATGTGCCATTTGTAACATTATTGAGACCAAAAACACTGGATTTATTATTTTTAGCAGTCCATAATATCGGTCACGTTGTTGACTTTAAGAACTCCTGCTAATGACGTGTCTAATTCGATAGTCGCATCATCTTTCTGTATCAAAAGAAATGTAGTACCTCTGCTTCACGTACGTGATTGGAATTAATCATTCTCTGCCATGGGCGCCATGACTGCAGTCTTGAAGGTGATAACAACCAAGAATCATTAAAATCGGCTGTTCTCGAATCAATTAGTTTATCATGAGTGTGGTCAGAAGTAAAATCATGAGATCGGTGGATGTTGAAACACGACAAAAATTATCTCCGGAGTCCGGGGGTTGACGGCTGACGCAACACACAACCATGAAGCAACCCCAAAAGTGGGGTGAATCGCATCACTTCATGGCTTGAGCTTCATGTTACATCCGCCGCTAGGAGCTTTACATATACAAAGGATCTTATTTTCCGCGCGCGCACGTGATTTCAAGACGCCGCGCGTTAGGGCCCTGATAATAAAGTTGAACAATTTGCCCATTATATTCATATCATGCAGACTCTCAATCAGCTCTCCACGATTACGGATTATCTTCGCTACGATATCTCTTATCCTGCATTCTATAACTGCTAATGTTTTACATTTTTGCAATTTCATTATTTGGCATGCATTTTTAACATAGATATTTATAGCATGACCAATGATGGATCCTGAACGCGCGGTGGATCCTGACCCTTGGGCTCAGCGTTAAGATGATGGTACACGGATCAACCCTCCCGCTAGGCTGTCACTAGCTCGATACGCGTACACTGTAGCACCCGAAGAGGCAGTCTCTCGCATACAATTGTAACCAGTAGAATGATCGCGTCATATTTGTGTTGTTAAGTTTTGAGTGATGTGGCAATTTTTCATGCTGTTAGAAATTAAGTATGTCGAATGAAGGCAGATGAACCTCCAACCTGGAGCTGGGGGTCAAAAGTCTGTACTTGCTAGTGCTACCGTTGATTGATATCACCTTAATATTTATTTGGCAGTAACTGCTCGAAAATTTGATCTCTACCCAGATCACGGTTTTGGTTCGTAATCAGTGATGGCGAACAATATAATATAGTAACGGTAAGTATTTGTCCTACCATACGTAAAAATGGGATCTTGAGAATCAAAACAATCGTTTTAAAAACGGCAATTTCAAATAACAGTCAATAAAAATAGAATATAAATAATTAGCTAAATAAAGAAGCTCTGCAGCTGATCCGTCAACACGTTAAAACATCATAATTATTTCGCGTTGGATAAAATCATTATTATTAATTAAAACGCAGGACTGAAATTATAAAAATAAATCGGCCAACAAAAAACAGAATTCTGGAAATATGTGCTTTCTGACTAATCTCTCGGACAACTGAAAATCTGAGCCAATAATAATTTAACTTTGTGTAAACGGATAAATAATAATTTCAAAAGCTTAACGTCCGTTGTCTGGAAAACCTTTGTCTAGGGGTCGGAACGTGAAAATCTGTTTTATCAAATAAGGTCTGGTTGGGCGAACTGGTCTGCTTGTTCTGTTTAGAGGCTACACGTTTAAAGGAATTGACGGTATCTTGAAGGAGGTTTACCAGGAGGATATCTGCAAGTCGGAACTTCATGGCTACTTCATCTTTGTTGAAATCCTGCCAAAGCGCATCCCCCTGTACAACCTCCTGTGGAGAGGATTGGTTATAGTGATGTTGCAAGAGATATTACTAAACAAATTTTAAAATGGTCACTTAAATAAGTGAATATCTGTCAACTTTATAATAGGACACTTTTGTTATGTATTTATTTAAAAGCTTGGAGGTGTAAAGCTGGCGATTAAAACTGTTATGCAACTACAGAAACTGGAGAAACCTTAGGAGTAAACCAAATAAAATATTGACGAAAGAACTAAAAAAGGTAGGGTCAGACCTCAAAATCAAGAGAGAAGGAAAGTTATATAAATCATGAATTCCACGTACCTTAGACAAAATTGCCTCGATAGAATAGAACTGGGTATTGGTAACAGCCACCACTTCCTCACATATCATAGGTTTAATACTTTCTAAAGTGTGGGGTTTAGTTCGCCGGTGTTTAAGGAGCCAGGGCGGCTGAGGCGGCTTTATCTGATCTCTGAAATAAGAGTTGCTGAGAAGAAGGTAGGAGATAATTTTTTTGTATATAAAAGTAAATTGTCAAATCTTAAGGAGTTCTAATCCTCTACTCTACTTCTTGTGTCTTTAAAATGGCTTTTCTATTGTATCATAAAACGTCCCTCAATGTTACTGCATAACGCAAAGATCCCTTGTATAATATCCAATTTGTATCATTGACAATTAAATAATAAATAATGATAATTGATTACCGAATCCAGGGCGGAGGTTTGACGGGGGATCCGAGCAGGTTAAAATGAGTGGCTGCCTGCATGAAGAGCTCATGAGCCTGACAAGTAAGGAGCTTACAGAAGGCTCGATATGAGACTGGGTCCGCGTAGTCTGGGATAGAATCTGGTTCTCCTGGGAGGGGATAAATTAGAGAGGGGATTTACTGTGTTACTTATAAACTGATTAACTAGCTTTTAGAAAATAGAGTGAGTGTGGGATGGGATGCGTGAGTGCGGCTGTATACGGTAAATGCGATCATAATATCGTCAAAAATTACATGAAAATAATGAAAGTATCAAGACACGAAAATACTCTAAATAACTTCATCATCTCTCTGCAACTGCAACAGTACCTGAAACAGGTAAGGAATAATGCCGTTAACAATTATTTTAGGACTTACTGTTAAGGTCGATGGGCTTGCCACATTTAACACAGGAAGCGAAGTAGTTGACAGCTTGATCTGCAATGTCCCGTACATCATCTGTAGAGTGGGCTACTCTCATCTCAACCTGGGGCGACATAGCATGTTAGAGTGGGACAACATAGCATATTAGAGTGGGGCAACATAGCAGGTTAGAGTGGGGCAACATAGCATGTTAGAGTGGGGCAACATAGCATGTTAGAGTGGGACAACATAGCAAGTTAGAATGGGGGCAACGTAGCCGGTTGGAGTGGGGCAACATAGCATGTTAGATTGAGGTATCTACTTCAATGAAATCCCGCAGATTCACTGACCTTAGTAGAGACGTAAGGAGGGGGAGGTGGGGTGAAGGTATCCGTGTAGGAACTGATAATGTCGTTCAGGACCAGACTCGACAGTCGATCTACAATATCATTAGTCTTATTCTCGTCTTCGAGTTCCTGAAGCAGAGATGGTTTCAGGGTAAATATCTTCAAGTTGACGGTTTTATATCTAATTTCAACAAAAACTTCCATTTTTCGTTCAAGGAGGCAAGCCACTTAGTTATCTATAAAAAAACCTTGAGAAGCCTGAGATCTCTCTGCTCCTTCACCCGATCACTTTCAGTTTCCAAGTTAACTTCGCGTGATTTTGTTCCTGTTGGATCGGAGCAAAGTCCCGTATCCAGGGAGACCAAGTTACTGAGAATGTTCTCTTTCTCATTGCGTGCGTTCATGTGGGTCACAAAATCATCTGAATCTGAAAAAAGTTGCCAGACATAAGTACTTATAGGACAGATAGGTAGTAGGAGAGGAGCAAAAAGCTAATAAATTTGAGAAATAGTTGGTTGTTCGTCAGAGCTAAAGTCTAACTTTACAAAAGGAACATAGTCAGAGCAGCTCCAGTTTCTACTTTTAAAATGACAGAAAGCATATTATCGGCAAAACACAGTGAAATATCGGCACAAATAATCAGTCCAACATCAGCAAAAACACCCCACAAACACCCCACAACAAAGCAATAACACGTTAATTCCACAAAAACACTTTTTCACAGCGCGGACTTACTCCAACAAACTCGGTAGTAGCAGCTAGGAGCTTTACAACCCTGCATCTCAATAAAAACTAGCTGTCGACAGGTTAAAATCCCTTCTTAATTAGGGGTATATATATATAATATATATTGTGTACGCTAACAGGTACAGGAACTAACAGGCTGTATTGAGGGCAACGCCCTGCAGTTTATCGGCCAGACAATAGCTCTCTTTATGTCGGTGTCGACCAAAATGCTTTACCACAACAGCTTTAATAAGGGCTTAAAATTAACGATTTTTAACAAGTAACCAGTAAAACTAAAATGGTTGCCTAGGAAACAGTAAAACCAAAATGGTTGCCTAGGAAACAGTAAAACCAAAATGGTAGCCTAGGAACCAGTAAAACTGAAATGGTAGAACCAGTAAAACTGAAACGATAGTATGCGAACCAAAAAAATAGGAGGGAGAAGCAGAAATAGTCCAAACTGTAGCTGTTGGCCAAACAAATAAAAAGCTTCGCCTACAATTGTGAGGTGACGCTACAGCACTGCAACATAAACAATCAGTTAACATTGTCTGGAGTACGGAAGGTCAGGATGGTGGACTGTGTAAACAAGTTATGTCATGTGTGTACACTGTATATTACCCATGTGGAACTTAATCCAGCTTAAATCAGTTCAGAAAAGGAATTACGTCATTAGTACACGGAGTGTAATTGTGTTACACGATTGAGGTGCAGTGTATATACAGTGTACTGTGTATACAGTGTACACTGTATATATTTCAGAATTATGTAACGTGATGGAAATATTTTAAACGGGTAATATCCTGTCCAAACCCAGGATACATAACATGAAGACTTTGTTGTAACTTTGTATGAAAAGCATTATACATCTGAATCCGATATGATAGCTCAGGAATCAGACAAAAATGTACATTGAATAGGATGTGTACTGTGTAATCTATACGTTTTTGTCTAACTTCAGCAACATGGACAAATTTCGGACCGGAAAAGTATGGAGAAATTTTCAAAAGCCGCAAATTTGTAAAGTTATTTTTTTCTGGTCGGTGCGAGACAAAAAGTAAAATCTGAAAAACACCTCCCTTCAGAACAAGACCGGAGACTAAAACTGAACGAAACAATTAAAATGTAAAACATGACATCTCCTGAAAAGCAAAGTATATAGCTCTACTTAGAATGTAAGTGTAACAGATAATCAAGCAGTCACATACCAATTAAACTGAGAAGAAGAGCTGAGAAACAAAACAATAGATTGAAATTCCACGGCTCGTTAAAACAAAGGCTGATTTGCGGTTTGAATCGGGTATTTCATGGGATCTTCATGTTTACACCAACGCACTTTAGATTACTATTAGTTGAGCTCACTTGGGAAAAAGGCATAAGGTACGTAAATGTGGGATATAAAATTAGGATATAAAAGTTGACATCTCTCATATCTGACTATGATAAAATTATAAAAACTGGTAGGAGAGTATGGAGAGTGGATATAGAAAGTGGAAATAAAAACGTGGGATAATTCTCAGCTCAGGTGCCAGAGACACGTGAACAAACTACTATCAATGTGTCTGTATATAACTGTGAAATAATGGAGAAGTAAACAATCGTCCCACCCATCGTTGATAATGTACAAAATGAATAATGACTAATGTTTTGTCTGCTTTTACCCAAGCAATATGGCATAATAGACCTTCCAACAATCAAACAATTATCAGTACAGATATTATCTTTACTTTTTACAGATAGCTAGCTATACAGTCATTAGATTATCTTGCAGCTATATAAAACACTTTAATCCGAGAGAATTATATTTTGAAATACCGATTTCGGGCTTACGTTTTATGTCCTTAATTATTTCGTCATGGTTTTGAGAGGAGACGGATAGGGTCAGAAAAAACATCGGATGATAAGACCGAAAATTCGGCTGCAATTTTGAAGAACCAGTTGAACAAGAATCGAAATTTGGGATCGTCCAAATTATTAACTGTTATGTCTAGTGTTATTATGATTTCATCTTGGATACTTAAGTCTTTATACCCAAAAAAATCAAGTTCTACACAATTCTATGACTTCTTGAACAGAAAACAGAAACTACAAGATCTTACACCCCAACTGACAACGATTAGATAAAAGCAGATAATAATTGAAAGGTTATAATAAACAACATATCACTAAGCCAGTGCAAGCAACTAACCGAAATCCAGCTGTACCGCGACTTTGCATCCAGCATCCGTTTCCACGGCCTCACCGTTGATGACGTCACTTGTTATTACGTCATCATACAGGTTATTCACGTCCACAAGATTGCCAATATCTCCTAAGTTATCCTCGTATGATAGAGTGTACGAACTCACGTCCTGGGTTGTAAATTTGATAGTGAAACATTGCGATAGTGAAACATTGTGATAGTGAAACAGTGTGATATTGAAACAGTGTGATAGTGAAACAGTGTGATAGTGATTAGTGAAAAACAGCGAACAGTGAAACATGAAGCAATATAAAAGTAAAATAAAATAAAGTAAAAGTTAAGTTAAAATACTGTTTGAAAGTGAACAAGTTTGACAGTAAAACAGTGACTTGCTGACCTGTGAGCAAGAGTTGTTAAGGAAGGATCTCGGAGAGTGTTTTGACTGGATCTCCTCCAGCTTATCCGAGATAGACTTACTGCTATAGCTCTTTTTCTGAAAACATAGTTATCACTTTAACGTTAATAACATTCCACTATGAAGCGTCTTCTCAAATATTAACATTTGAAGTAGGCCTCTTTGTAATGATGGTAGCAGAATCTATACCCAAGATAAAAGGTATCAAAGATGCGCCATAGTGTCCGAACTAAGCCAGATCATGTAAACACAACACCCCAACCCGAATTACGTACTGTCTAACTAGTGTCCTTCAAGACAATCAAATAGAATATTCAGTTTATTCGAGCTAAAAAAGATGGTACTAGGTGTTAATATCGATTCTGTACCTGATTTATGAACTTCTTAGCGAGGATGTTCTCTACGTCGGATGCACTGTTCCTCTCTATACCATACGGGACACTCTGTGCCCTCTCGTAACTCTCCTCCTGCTCTCCTACCTTCTTCCTAGTGGAGACAACCGTGTTTTGAATTTCTATAACAACTCATGAGATAGACAATCACTGAGTCATGACAACGTGAAATAGGTTTATAATATTGGAAAATTACTGGGGTTTGGAGACAGTATATTAGTGTTTTGAATTAGATAAAAAACATGATGTTAAAATATGTTGCTCTCGTGTCGGATGTTAACTTACTTGTGAAGCTGGCTGTCGGATGCTGAAAGTGAAACAGAATGTATGGGAGTACACAGCTCGGCACGCCGCGCACAGGGTTGCTGCGCGACCTGGTCGTCATGGTTACTGACAGGCGTGTGTACACTGACCACACTGACTTGACTGTCTGACAACACTTTTTTGGGCTGATCATGAGTTGGGGTATGACTGATCTCCAGTGCTTCAGTAGAATACGAGCTGTGAAGCGAAGGCGGGAGGGGTGTTACAAAAGTCAAATCATGCTCGGAATATGGTGGCAGTTCTTCCTCGTCCAGCGATATGAGCGGCTCATCAACCAAGCTAATCTGTGGCTGGTGATCAGGGCTGGAGTTTATATCTGATGGTGGTGGGGATGGCATGTCATTTTGAGAGGACAGTTTGTCTGAAGTAGTTACTTGAGGGAGAGGATTGGTGCTAATGATAACTGTTTCTTGTGAAGGGGAGGAGGAGGAGGGTTGGGGAGTGGGGGTTGTGGTTGGAGTGCTGAACTGGTTATCTGGACCTGACGAGCAAATTGAAACTATCTCGTCCTCTGAAAAAAAGTTGTGTCACTAAGCTTTAAAACTACGAAAAAATGGAACACGGCATGAAACTGAGACGAGGAACAAAAATAAGGATTTTACCAAAACAGGAATCTACAAACAATCACTCTCTATTCGAACCGATACTTCACTACACCGATACTTCACTACACCGATACTTCACTACACAGATAAGACTGGTACTGTAGTACACATGTCCAGTACGTAATATCTACTGACCTAGTGTTTGTATACTGATATCTACTTACCTAGTGTTTGTATACTGATATCTACTTACCTAGTGTTTGTATACTGATTTCTACTTACCTAGTGTTTGTATACTGATATCTACTTACCTAGTGTTTGTATACTGATATCTACTTACCTAGTGTTTGTATACTGATATCTACTTACCTAGTGTTTGTGGTAAAGGTAGCGGACTCCGCGTAGACCGGGCTATATTCTGGGACCCTATGAGGTCGTTACATGACGTCACTACGCCAAGTGAATCGTCCAAATCCAGCGTTGAGTCGAACAGGATATCTGGGGGTTCCGGCGGCGAGTGCTTGGGTGTGCTGCAGGTCACTGTACTGATAGAGGATGAAAATGACGTATCGCGGTTAAATGATGACGTCACGTTGCATGGTGATGACGTCGCGCTACACGGCGATGCTGCTATGGAATTCTGGGCTGATACTGGGGTTGTGCTGTCTTCTGATTCTGTTGAGATATCTATGGAATACATAGTGTCAGGAGATACCAGCAAAAAGTACGCACGTTTTGGGATAAATGTGATAAAACCGTGATTAATGTTAAGGGATAATGACTGTGAGAATTAATTAACTCAAGCAATTAGTTAATTATAAGGTATAATAACAGTAAGACCAGACCTGCGATTGTGCTGCTCCGATTAACTACCCTGCTCTTCATTGCTCGCTGGATTTGCTTTTGAAGCTGAAGTCATAGTTACTGTTTTACCATCAGGAGAGAAATTAATAATAAATTATAGAGATGAAGATTGGTTAATGGGTGTTGTGTAATTAGCTAATTAGTAGTGTAATTAGTAAATGGTGGGGTTGAATTTAATGGTTTGATTTCATAGTTGAATCGCAAAAGATCTATAAAATCTTTCATCGAAGAATACTAAAAAAGAGATAAACAGTTTCCAAGTGCAGATGGGATAGAGCGCAATATTTCCCGCGTTATTGAAATTTAAACTCACGTAAGGGCTCTCCACGACCAGTTCCCGCCTCTGATCCGGAGTAAGGGATCTGAACTCTGCTGCTACTTTCTGACGCTGTCTCCGGATCTTTACCTCCAACTTTTTCACATCCAGCTCCGCTTCTAGCACTGGAGGGTGTGTGGGTGTAGATTGTGGAATATTGAACATCATACTAAAAATTGTTATGTTTCGAGAATATTGGATATTAAAATAAAGTTAACAAAGTTCGCTACTGAGTGTTTGGACGGCAATGAAGTACAGCTCCTCCTTATAGAATATGCAATTTTAATGGCGGACTCAAATTCGCCGTTAACACATACGGACTCTACTACAATTTTGTCTGAGGTGGGTTCAGGATCTACTTTTTACCGGGGGCGGGATTTTAACCGGGGATCCCCAATCTAGCCGGGGCCGGGGTTGGCCATCGACATTTGGCCGGGAAATCTTCCATTTTGCCGGGGCCCCGGTCGAGCAATGGTTGGGTCAGTAGACCCCGCTGTGGAATGGTCCGAGAGTCCGCATAGCTGAATGATATTCACTACGGGCACGCACAGAGTACAGACTTCATGCTTCCATACGATGGTTGATCGGAAAATACAGATTAGTAACACTTATTCAGCAATCGTAGCTTGCTTGTGGGTTTTCTTTCCTGTAGATTTCCGCTAGGAAATATTCGACCCAAACGAGTCCCTACTGAATATCCGCATATTAAATTCCTCGGGAGATCAATACGAACCCACAATACAAGAGGGAAAAAATAAAATTACAAGTATTCATGTAACTAGAAACCCACCTCCAAGCCTGTCGATGTTGTTGAAGATGCTCATCTTAGGATCGGTGGGAAGATCCGGCAACTTCCTCTTGCTCTTGTGCACCTTGACAAGGCCTCTGTAATCCCGTCTCTCTCTGGTGGTAGTTACAGGGTAGCCATCCTCTGATAGATCTGAAGAGAGTTAATAGATATGTTAGGTTGGCGTGTAACAGACGAATTTGTTTAAAATTCCAGCAGTTTACCCATAATAATTGTTCCTATTGTCAGGTATTAAGAACATTTTTGTCAGTTTTTATAGTCAGTATTTGGTGATGATTGAATATTTGTTTTTCGAAAATTTCAATGATTTCGGGTAAGAACAGGGCACTGGGCAGTGATTTAGCACTTTGTTTATGACCTTACTATTTATCAGAACCACTACCTCAGAAATGAGCTAGATTAGCTCATGTACGGTATATCCAACACTCACAGTCAGGTTGAGGTAAAGCTTAGCTCGAAGAATTGGATCTACTCATGTGTAAATTTGAATCAAAACCTAACGATGTGATAAATAATCACCCGGATTTAGACTTGCCAAAAAATAAGAGATTCTTCCTAAAATATCTCAGCCTACTCAGCAGCTGATTTCGGTAATTGGTAACGTGCTTAGACCAATCACACACTGCCTAGATGTTCACGAGACAAATTTGGCGCTCAGAATATCGCAGTCGCTGACTTTACGGTTACCTAGGTTTAGATCAGGGGTATTAATCCAGTGCGGGTATTTACTATTTATTTGGTGACGAATTTAACTGAGGTGTGTTCACACAGTTTCAAACCATCAATAATCTCAGTTCAAACGACCATTAGTATTTATTTTCCTTTTAAGAAATCTTTAAACTGCTAAATAAGCCTGCTGATAATGAGTTACACGTATAATGTAACCCCCTCACCAAGACAGATGTTAGTAATTTTAGACTCAACCCCCTCAGCTAGATGTTACTCCTCCCTTCCCCCCGTAAGCCATTTAAAATTAAAACATAGTGTAGAAATTACACAGAGCTCTTCCAAACCCTGTCTCCTCTAGGCTTGCTTAAGTTATGTGTGAATGATCCCTTACGCAAAAATCTGACCGTTTAAACGTTCGTAGGCGATACCTAATACAATCATGATTGCAGTTCCTCATAAATTATTTAACGTTTTTCATTATAATCATTTAAATGACCAAACCGTTGAGTGAACGATTGTCAAACTGATTTAGGCTTTTATTTGTTTGCCTGACCGTCTTTGCTTAAGCATTTTTAGTTTTAATCAAGCTGTTTCCTTTTTTTGCATATCATTGTAGTTAGTTTCTTGATGAAATGTTTTCGTTAACACAATATACATTTTGTATTAGCTAAATTCTAAAGACAACGACTCAGCAAATCAGGTTGAACGGGAATGGATGTTAAACTTTTGATCGTAATACTGATCTTGTTAGTTCAGGGTTACTCAAGTCAAATTCAAGGTATGATGTTTGAAATTAATTAAACAGATTTTATCTAATCTGTCATTATATTCACGTTGTGCATACTTTGCACGACAGCTTTATTCGTGTACATTTCCAACGTTAAATGAAATACTAGTAACAGAGAATATCCGTACAAATTACGTTACGATAAGTGATATCATTATTTTCCAGGTAAATCAGGAGAAGAAAAAGAAGTTGGACATGATATTGATGGGGAAAAACGAACAAGTAAGAAATTCCGTTCATCTCAACCTAACACAAAGTTGAACAAACTATGAAGAAGTGAAATATAATAAATTCTACATTAATCGTTTCTTTAATTGCACTCAGTTGTTGCTAATTTATGTTTCAGAAAATGGAGATGTTATGAGAGACTACGATCCAGACTACGATCCCGGCAAAGGACAACAAGGTAAGAACTAAGAAATACAAGGCTTCCAATTGGATTCTGTTTAAATCACATGATCTGTAATTTTATAACTTATAAAAGCAAGTGTGTGCCAGGAATAACTAAAATTCTGCCACCAACATGTAGCCAACATTGATCTAATGTTGGCTACAACATACATATTCCATAAGCCCAATTTTAGCTATTTTAGACCTCTTTCCCCGTTACTCCGGGTCCCTTACTCCCAATGACACAACTACGAGGATCTTGGGAGTCTCACTCTATCAAAAGGAACTATTGTATTACTAACTACAGCCAAATTTTGATTTTAACCCAATCTTTTGAACCCAAAATTACTTATTTCGAAAGTTACCGGGCACTTTCCAGAAACAAAAAAGCTTGAACACTATTTTATCTGAGAGAAAACAGTGAAAGTTACCAGAAACTGCTGCTTCAAAAAATATTGATCATAACCGGAGTTATATACATATATAATACTAGAAACCCGCCGCTAGTCGAAAGCTTTGTTCGAGGAAATTTTAAGCATCAGTTATGTTTTAATTTCTCTTCATCATATAGCCCCAAAACGATACTTTTTACCGCATCAAAAAATTTCAATCACAACCAAAGTTATAAATATATATAGGTATAGCGTCATGAGGGTAAATGTGAGCTAGTTGTGAAACTCTGATATTTCAATCGAGAATGACAGTCAATTGAATTATTGCCAGGCAATTAAAATGTTTAACTGCGCAAAGTTATTTGCGTAATTAGAAAACAACAATATTTTTGTTGATTGTGTGTGCGCGGCGTCATGTCAGCATTGTGTGTAGCTCTAGCGAATTTAGTATCGAAAAAAAAGTATCGATACTTTTTACTGCATCAAAATATTGCAATCACAAACAAAGTTATAAGAAGTCATAGCGTGAGCGTAAATGTGAGCTAGTTTTGAAATTATGACGTATCATACAGCATAACAACGCGCGTTGTTAATCTGTGGTTGCTCGCGCACGTGCATTTTTATCGTTGCTACGCAACAGCGCAGTAAACCTTTGCTTAAATAACGCCATTATTCTAACGATTATTTAACCTCACTTCCGACGTTAATTATAAAAAATCTAAAGCCTAAATCAAAATTCTAAGAATGCTATAGCCTATTCCTATCCTTTTTCTACAACCCTGCTAAAAATGGTGAGGTTTCAACTCCATTTGCGAGCTGGGTTTGGCATCACCAGAGGGTCATTTTGAGGTCGATTTTCGGTGTTTTTTCTTCTATGTCCCCGTTGCCGGGGAAATTTCGTCAAGTTTAAAATATAATATAGATATATATACATAACCTAACATAGTTAATATCATAGGAACAAAGTCCAAGGGCACTTGCCAGGGCCCAACTGAAAATAAGCCTCTAATAATGTGTTCATATTATGAATACACTAGTCACTAGTGTGACCCGTGCCTCCGGCCGGGACTTCACTGTCGCAGTTGAATTGCAAAAGTATAAACGGTGAAAAAGTTATAACAGTGCAAAAGTATGAACTCGCTCAGTCGAAACCGGCCGCATTAAAGTAAATTCAATTCTGAGCGCCCAACACGTATACTTATTAAACAACTTTGATACAGGTGCAGATACAGGTGGACAAAACGAGAAAGTTACCTCTTCTGTGCCGAATTCTAGTACTAGTAATCACGTACAAACGGAAACAGGATCAGGTTAGAAATCTTATTGAAATATTTAAGAAAAGAAATTCATTTTGAAACAGCAAAAAAAAATTCAGGCTGTAGCTTGAAGCGCCAAAAAATATTTAGAATTTGGCTGCAATTAATGATTTAACTTATCATTCAAAAGTTTCTCTAGTTTGTCTGTCTGTGTCGTCTGACCGACCACATGCAAATTTGATGAGGAATAGGTAGTTGCATATTAAAGCGGGTGGAAACGCGCAGGTGCAGGTGTAAGGATTATTGTAGGGGCTTTTTGATCGGTTTTGTTGTCATATTACGTAGTGTCTTGGCTGGTGCTTTGAATGAACTTAGATGGACTATAACAATCAGTTTAGATAGGCCAATTCCCCCGATTACTATTGCTGGCCTTCCACTTGACACTGAATATGCTGATGATGTTGACTTCAATGATGAAGAGGAAGACAACTTGAGAGCTATTTTGCCCCAGGCAACAGCTATACTCGAGAAATGGAACCTCTTTGTCAATGAAGACAAAACGGACTTCACTCATGTTTATTTAGCTAGTACGGGTGAAGTCGACAGTGATAGAAAATTAGTGTCAGGGAATGAAGCATGGAGGAAAAGTATCACTCTAGGGTATGCCTTGTGTAGCAAAGCTGATATTCAGCGTCGCATAAACCTGGGATATGCTTCTTTCAACAATTACAAGAAGGCCTGGAGTGATAAACTGCCCCTAAACAAACGTCTAATACTGTACAATGCTTTAGTCGTATCGGTTCTTATGTACAACTCATCCTGTTGGGCCGTCCCCAAAATATTCCTTGAAAAACTAGATGTTGTTCACCGCAGACATCTTCGCACTATTTTGAATATAAAGTACCCAGGGGTCCTTTTGACGGACCAGCGTTTTCTTCCCTCATTTTTGCCATCAATACACTGGACTTACCAGGGAGAAGAGGAAGACCCCAAAGCAATCTATTCTCGCTGATTGTGCATGATTTATGTAAAAGAAATATTTATTTGAATAATATCTTTGACCTGCATTATCTCCGTAATTTAGCGTATGACAAGAGATATTGGCGGGAATTGCAATGAAGTTTTTGATTTTTAGTTTTTATTTTAGGGAAAGATTAGACTTGGGCGTTGTTTTTTAAACTATCCCTTGTTTAGAACTTTGATTTAATAAATGATTTAATAATTACGTAGTGTTTAGTGCGAGTTACATTTTAATGGTCTGTATCTTCGATTGTGATACGATAAAAACTGACTATCAAAGAATACTATTAGCTTCCTCCCTGTTATCAAGGGCATTCTAGTAATTAATTCAGCAAGATAGCTGATTGGCATAGAAAACGGAAAAATATAATTCAAAATGGTCTCAGGGCAAACAACACAATAATGGATTATCTATTAACGTTATTCTTAACGGGCAACAGTTGTCACAATTATAGCTTAGGATACTTGATTAACAATTTTGATCCAGGTGATACAGGTGGACAAAAAGAAGAAAAGGTTCGAAGTGAAGAGCAATTAACCTCTTCTTCTTCTCCGCATTATACTTCTAGTAGTATATTAAGATATACTACTAGTAGTCGAGAACGAAAGGAAGCAGGA